TGTTTAGCAGTTAGCGTTAATTTCCACTAATTTTGTAAACTGTTTAGCAGTTAGCGTTAACTTCCACTAATTTTGTAGCCTGTTTAGCAGTTAGCGGTAACTTCCACTAATTTTGTAGCCTGTTTAGCAGTTAGCGGTAACTTCCACTAATTTTGTAGCCTGTTTAGCAGTTAGCGGTAACTTCCACTAATTTTGTAGCCTGTTTAGCAGTTAGCAGTAACTTCCACTAATTTTGTAGCCTGTTTAGCAGTTAGCAGTGACTTCCACTAATTTTGTAACCTGTTTAGCGGTTAGCGGTAACTTCCACTAATTTTGTAACCTGGTTTAGCGTTAGCAGAGCTAAGATTCTGGTTAGTGAGTCTGGTTATCTGGGCCCACCACTGCTGAAAGTGTCGCAATGAAGTCGTTTAATTTAAATCAAGTTCAAACTTCTCTCCAGCCTCATAAATTAGATGAGAGTTTAATTTAACACCAGCCTGTTGTTTTGTTGTGGCAGCTGGTTTTACAGAAGCTCTCAATCCTTCATTTTGTTTTTTTAATGTTTTATTCTGATCCCTGTTTGAAAAACTTAATGAAATGCAACACCTTCAGTCCTTTCTGCGTTTCAGGTGGTGGGATTTGTCACGGTGTGGTATTTGAACAGTCGCCGCTACTTTCCCCTCGCTGTAATTACCGCTTCACCCGAGCTTAATGTGGTCATCGTGACCCACATTCCTGGGAGACACGCCGCCTCCTTCTGGTTCTCCCGGGTCCACATGAAGCTGACGGCCTCTCACAWACAGAGTGTCTGTTTTAAATTGTCACCACAAAACGCCATCGTTAGCACTTCCTTTTGACTTTCTCTCTCCGTAGCAGAGCTGAAACGTGGTTGGAAGCAGCGCTCGGGCTCTTTATCAGTGAAGATTTGTTTACTGTAAATAAACGGCGCAGTGTGAGAAGCTGTCGGAGCTTTCCACTCAGTTTCAGGGAACTCCTGCAGATGAAACCAGAGGTCAGACGCAGCTGACTCGTGTCGTTTAAATAAACGTTGGGATATCGAGGGATTTTCCCTAAAACAAAACGACACAAAAGGCAGCGTCASTTCAGGAAGTGGTTTGGCAATCTGTCACATAACCTGAAGGACAAGTGGAGATGTCGGGTTTTGGATGCGTACAATTTGTGGAAATGGATGCAGATAATCAGTATAAGTGTGTAACGTGAGGAGATACAGAACATTTAATGAAGAACAATAGAAAWATCTAACTTTGACCTTCATGATACAGCATTTCTTTTGTGTTATATTTTCTATTTTTGTTTGTTTTTCTTGGTTCAAGGTCTTATTACAGGCTGAGATGTAGCATTTTGACCCTCATTGTTCYGTTTTAAATGCTAAAAATTTAAAGATGAAGTCTGGATTTTAGAAGAATAAAAAAAGAAGCTTGAAGCAAAGTTTAATAAACAATTTGATTTATTTTTAGCTCATCTCGATTCAAGGAAATTATATTTTTCAGCCAAAGATACTGAAGGATCAAAAACTGACTTGTTAAAGCTTAATAAGCTAGCTAAAAATAGCAAAATGTTAGATAAAAGCTAAAAATAGCAAAAGGCTAGCAAAGTACTAGAARAAGCAGAAAATGTAAAAGTTACAAAACAGCTAAAAATAAAACAGCATTAGATTAGGACATAATAAAAAGCCAAGCTAGCTATAAGTAGCTAAAAGTAGCTAAATGCTACCCGTGACTTAAAAGTAGCATACGTTTAGCTGAAAGCTAAAAGTAGTAGTTGTCAAACAAATTAATAAAAGAAGCAGAAAGGTTAGCTTAAAATTAAAAGTAACAACATGCTAGTTGAAGATAGCAAAAGGCAATTTAATTTCAAGAAGAAACAAACTTCAGCTTAAAACTAAAATCTGCAAAACAGCTAAAAATTTAAACATAGCATAAGAAGACATAATTAATGCCAGGTTAGCTTAAAGTACCTAAATGCTACCTGTGACTGAAAAGTAATATAAGTTTAGCTAAAAGTAGTAAAAAAGCAGAGTAATAGAAGAACAGGAAGTTTTGTGACAAAGCTAAAACGATATATAGCAAAAAGCTAGCTAAATGTATCAAAAATTGTTAGTTTTAAGCTAAAATTTGCYMAATGTTAGCTAAAGCTAAAGGTAGAGCTTGGCTAGCAAAGTAGCAAAACAGTAGCTTAACTAAACAGCATTAGAAGACAATAAAAACATGAGCTAAAGGTAGCTGAGCACTAGCTGTGTCCTAAAAGTAGCTTAATTTTAGCTAACAGTAGCAATCATCTACCAGAGTAGTAAAAGTAGCAGAAGATTAGCCAAAAAGATAACAGAATTAACTAACTAACTAACTAACTAACTAACTAACTAACTAACTAACTAACTAAAAAATCAAAACTAGCAGCCATTTCCTGAATGAGCCGGATGTTTTTTGTGTTTTTCAGGCCCAAATGCCGAACTTCTCTACAAAATCACGTCCGGCGATCCTCACGGCCACTTCCTCATCTCCAAGGACGGAGTTCTGAAAACCAAGACGGCTCTGGACCGGGAAACCCAGTCCTTCTACAACCTGGTGGTCACGGTCAACGACCTGGCCCCGCCCCCCGCCGCCCGCTTCACCAGCACCGCCCAGGTGTCCGTCATCCTCCTGGACGTCAACGACTGCCCTCCGACCTTCACCTCCCAGAAGATGACCTACATCCAGGAGAACACGCCGGTGGACACGATCGTGTTCACCGCGCACGCCTCGGATGCCGACAGTGGACCCAACAGCTACGTGGAGTACTCCCTGCGAGGACCTTTCGGTAACAAGTTCAGCATCGGAACCATCGACGGACACGTCAGGCTGGTCGGGGAGCTCGACAGAGAAGAACTCTCCAACTACACCCTGACGGTTGTGGCTACGGATAAAGGCGAGCCGCCGCTSTCCTCGACCATGGACGTGGACATGACGGTGCTGGACGTCAACGACAACACGCCGAGTTTCTCCCAGAACATCTACGACATCGAGATCGAGGAGAACACCTTGACGGGCGCCGACGTCATCCAGGTGTTCGCCAGCGACGCGGACGACGGCACCAACGGGCAGATCCGCTTCTCCATCTCCGGAGGCAACGCCGRCAACGACTTCCGGCTAGACTCGGTCACGGGGATGATCTCGGTGGCCAGACAGCTCGACCGTGAGATGCGGTCGTCCTATTCGCTGGTCGTCCAGGCGKCGGATCGAGGAAGCAGCCCCAGAGCGGACCGCGCCACCGTCAACATCGTTCTGTTGGATGTCAACGACCGCTCGCCAGAGTTCGAGCTCTCGCCGTACACCRTCAACGTCCAGGAGAACCTGGAGAACCTCCCAAAGAACATCCTGCAGGTCAGTGTTTCCATGTTCGTTTCTTTTAGAMGGAAACTCCTCCATGAACAGAAGCTTTAAAGACTTAAACGAGGTAATGCTTTAACTGAATTTGTCGCAGCGGTAACTCAATAAGTGCAGTAGAACTTCACTTTAACTCTGGACACGGTGGTCCTGTTTTGCTAAAATGACAAATACCCGACTGAAATGATAAAGGAATGATAAATGACGGCAATTTTTTCTGCTCAATTAGGGGCTTTACAGGATTTCACCGAAACACGAAACCCCGCTGAGTTGCCATGTTAGCGTCGTAGCCACCCTGATGACTAAATGAGCCGAAAATAAAAAAATGGGGGAGAAGAAAAGCTTCTTTTCGGTAGCAGAGCGGTCCAATTTTCCTTCACTTGTGTACCTTAAGAGGAAATGAGGGTGCAGTTATGTGGAGGGAAATGGTCCAGAAATGATGGAGCTCAGGTCTGTTGGGCTAACCTGTCATATTTTATTATACACGGCAAGAAGGACTGAGCAGAAATCTGATTTATAGCTTGTTTTATAGAAAACAACTATTTAAAATGTGTCTGTCTTTAATCCCGGCAGCGGTCTAGACCAGGGGTGTCCAATCCTGGTCCTTTTGGTTCACCAACCGACAGGTTTTACTTGTTTCTCTGCTCTTTGGCAGGCCTTAAAGTTCTGCAGTTAATCACTCAGTTATTCAAACCAGGCTCCTGCAGAACATAAAGATATGAAGAAGAAAAGGGAAACAAGTAAAACCTGCAGAAAGATGGCCCTCGAGGACCAGGATAGGACAACAATGGCCGACACCAATGATTTCCAAGTCTGTCAACTTCTGACCATCAAAATAATATTAGTAAGGACTTGCCACTCTAAATATTGAACCACACAAATGTTGGTAAATGTAATTTTATGGAAATGGATGCAGATAATCAGTATAAGTGCATAACGTGAGGACATATATAACATTTAACGAAGAACAATAGAAATATCTGACTTTGACCTTCATGATACAGCATTTCTTTTGTGTAATCTTTTCTATTTTTGTTTGTTTTTCTTGTTAAACACTGAGACATTTTGACACACATTATCCTGTTTTAAATGCTAAAAGTTGAAAGAAGTCTGGATTTTAGAAGAATGAAGACCTGGAGCTTCATTTTGAAGCCAAGTTTAATAAACAATTTGATTTATTTTTATTTCATCTCGATTCAAGGAAATTACATTTTTCACCCAAAAATGCTGAAGAATCAAAAACTTCTTAAAGTTAAAAAAGCTAGCTAAAAGTAGCAAAATGTTAGATAAAAGCTAAAAATAGCAAAAGGCTAGCAAAGTACTACAAGAAGCAGAAAATTTGGCTTAAAAGTAAAAGTTGCAAAACTGTWAAAAACCAAACAGCATTAGATTAAGACATAATAAAAGCCAAGCTAGCTAAAAGTAGCTAAATGCTACCTGCAAATTAAAGTAGCACAAGTTTAGCTGAAAGCTAAAAGTAGTAATTATCAAATAATAGAGTAATAAAAGAAGCAGAAAGGTTAGCTTAAAATTAAAAGTAACAACATGCTAGTTGAAGATAGCAAAAGGCTATTTACTTCAACTTAAAACTAAAATTTGCAAAACAGCTAAAAACTAAACATAGCATAAATAGGGACATTTTGAAAGTACAAATAGCCTAAASTCCTATTATACAAATTTTAATTTATGACCATTGGTTTCAACAACTTCGAGACCACCGACTTGGTGTTTTACAAACCACAGTTGGAGAACTCCTCCAGACTTCTCTGGTGGATGTTTTGGGTATATTCTGATTTTATCATTCATGACCTCTCTGGATACTAAGATGAACCCGTCTCTGCTTTACTAGAGCAAACCAACGAGTTAAACCAAGGTGGTTGACCTCAGTTATCGTATGAATTTAGAAGTTAAGCTAAAATCTGAAACTGCAGAACACCAGGTAAGGGCAGCTTGTGGTTTGGTCGTATGATGTCAGAGTTCACCTGCCAGCCGCCTCGACCTGTAAAGTTTATCTGTTTGACGTGAACGAGTTTTGGAAGCTGGATGAGAAACGCAAGGCGTGTGTTTACTTGTGATGTCAGGTAAAGTGAGGGAACGTAACTTTTATGGGTATTTACTGTGCTGAGAATTGACCCTAAATGTCATCGACTTGTTGCCAACTTATCTGAAAGCTACTKTCTGGACCAACGTATGGAAACCAAACATTATCTCAGACTGAACACATCTGTCTTTTTAATCATAAACAATCCCTTTATGTTTTTAAACTGTTGTTTAATATAACTTGTTAGAAAGCTTCTGTGTTCTGGACTGGTTGAAAGTGATGCAAAGATTTATTTAAACCAACATATTGGGGTTACAGTGGTGATAAAACATGACTTTTCTGGGTCCTTGTTGGGGAAATAACCCTTGATTTTTCTACTGTATCAGTAAGGAGTCTTATAGTTTGGGTTGGACAGTGACTCCAAATGTTTTTAAAACTGGTTTCTGTTTGCAGGTTGTAGCCAGAGATGACGACCAGGGCGCGAACGGACAGCTGAGCTACATGCTGAGCGGCGGGAACGAGGAGGGAGCSTTCGCCCTGTCGTCCAGCGGGCAGCTGAGCCTGATCCGGACTCTGGACCGGGAGGCCCAGGGGAAATACGTCCTGCTGATCACAGCCACCGACTCAGGTACGACTGCAGCCGAAGCTCTGAACTATCTTAGATCATCTGTTCTCAAACCACCCTTAAAATGTGACAAAACAGCGATGCCATTATAAACTTCATTAAAAAAGCACATAAATCTGTCCGAACAGCCACAGAACTGCAGCACTAAAGCACCAAAGACCCCATTGAGGATTGGGAAACACCAACTGGAAGTCTTGAAATCATCTTCAGTTTTGAAATTAAACTAAATCGTTTCTTATAATTGTGTATCTTTGCCATATTTCAGAGACAAAAACGTTTATTCGTGCTTCAGCCAGCAACAACTGGATGTCTCAAAAAGAAAAAATCAGTAGGTCCTCTGGATGGGTTCTTCTTTAGTGTAATGTTTCCTCTCTCCTCCAAGAGACTTCTTCAGTCTGATGAGTTTCAGTTGAACTCAGCCTTATAAGCACTGCCTCCACATTATAAGCACTGCCTCCACATGGACAAACAGGTTAGTCACATGCAAAAGAGGGCCATCGCCTAACAAAAGGCTTGGCGATGGCCCTTGGAGGCCAAGAGACCTTGGATGGTCTCTTGGAGGAGAGATGAAACGTTACACTAAAGAAGARCCCATCCAGAGGACCTACTGATTTTTTCTTTTTGATTTTTTTTCTACCTGGATTACTGAGTTGCATCAGGACAGTTGGACGTTTCAGTTTCTTTTACGGTTATTTTTGGGGTCGATGGTTTAAACGTTTGATAGCCATTGATCTAAATGTTCCCAGTTGGTTTTAACACCAACCAGAGTTTGGGCTCCGTGGATCTGTTGTACCTCTTGAGGTCTGAGTTTGGTCATTTTTTTGTAATTATCCTTTAGTTTTTTTTCTAAAGGAAGAATCAACAAACAGCCTTTTTGTGCACACAGTTTTGTTCCTCTGTGTGGTTCAACAACATATACATCCCAGAGTTTTTATCTTGCAAAATAGAGTTTTTTTTTATTCCCCAGACGCCTTTTCAGTGGGTTGAATTGAACAGCATCCTGTGTTTGTTTGAATGTGGCGGTGGAGCTTGTTATATCCAGATAAAAGGTTAACTTGTTATTCCACGGAGGCCCGTTAACGTGCAGCCAAATCACATGGTTTCCAGTTAAATATATGTTTCTCCCCTCCGAGCTGCAGAGCGGTCCTGGTCTGAGGGTGGTTCGGGTTCATTCCTGGACGCGCCATGTGACCGTGCATAATGTCCTGTATTTTTGACCGCACTCAGACTTTGGTGTTGCACACAGACACCTAAAAAAATACTTCCTTTGTGGATTTAGTGTCAAGATTTCTAGTACTTTAAAGATATTGGTTTTTTTACAACTGTATTTTAAACTTATGGAGGCTAATTTAATCAAACCCACAACTTTATAATAAAGTAATTAAATTAAAAGACTAGAGTGTACAATGAGGGAATGCATATCATCCATGACTATCCACTGACTAGAAAACTTGATATCTACTACCACGCCAAATTTTTTTGCTCTTTTCCTGTTGGGTAACGTTGATCAGCTGTGGTGGCCATCTTGAATTGGGTAGACATTCATACAGTAATTTATTCCTGAATGTTTCATTGAAATTCATCCTATGGTTTGTTACTTTTTTTGTTAACAGATGGGCTTATGTGTTGTGAGTATCAGCCACTACCACACAAATTTTAAGGCCAATATTTATAGAATTAGCTGAATTTTAGCCTTTTTTTGTGCTTTTTAAAGGCAATTGACTGAGGCAGCCATCTTGAATCAGGTTGACCCCTAGTGGTGTCCAGTCCTGGTCCTTAAGAACCGATATCCAGCCACAGACCTCTACACCATTAAGGATAGTGTTCCTCGAGGACCAGGACTGGTCACCACTGGTGTGCACACAGTTTTGTGTAGACGTACATCCAATTGTCCAACGGTCGTCCAATGAATGTCCAAACATTCATCTGATGGTCATCCAACAGTCCAATGAATGTCCCAACAGTCATCTAATGGTCGTCCAACAGTTGTCCAATGAATGTCCCAACAGTCATCTAATGGTCGTCCAACAGTCGTCCAATGAATGTCCCAACAGTCATCTAATGTTTGTCCAACAGTCGTCCAATGAATGTCCCAACAGTCATCTAATGATTGCCCCACACTCGTCCAATGAATGTCCCAACAGTCATCTAATGATTGTCCAACACTTGTCCAATGAATGTCCCAACAGTCATGTAATGGTCGTCCAACAGTCGTCCAATGAATGTCCCAACAGTCATCCAATAAATGTCCCAACAGTCATGTAATGGTCGTCCAACAGTCGTCTTGCCCTTACCTTTTGGCAACAGGTGGTAACTGATGCTTGGGTCCAAGGGCTACTTAAGGTTTTTTCCATCTGAACCTGTGTCCAGATTTAATTCAGATATTTTTACTGAATGTTTCAGTTCAATTTTGAGGCAGAAAGAAGGATACCTCAGCAGCAGCATTTCATCACATTTTTCAGTCCAGGTCAGGGACGACACAGGGAAACTGTTCCCCCAGGCCCTCTATGGCAGGAAACGTCAGAGGTGGACATGTCTCCAAGTCTGCGTCTAACCACGACCCATTCAGAACCGCAGACATCCGTGTTAAAGTCCAACCAAATGTCCCAACTCTAAACACCATGTAAGAGACGGAGAGAACCATTTGTTAGGGAGAGGCCCCGGTTTAAAAAAAAAACGCCTTTCTATCAGACAAAAGTCCCGAGCTGTCCGTCAGAAATATGTCGAGCTGTCATGTTTGGTGTTGTGAGAAAGTTCTGCTGCGACCGCTTCGTGACAAAAAGAGATAAATGACTGTTCCTCCGACAGCAGGGCTGTAATTTACTCTTTTTCTGTGGGCAGAGTTCTGCATTGTGCTCCCATGAGACGGTTTCTAAGAAGGTAAATGTTTAGTTTTTTTACCTAATGGGTCACTTCCTGCTGACTTAAAATCAAAAATTTTCTGATTAAAATTCTTAAATAGGTCCTAAAAGTGCAACAACTTTCTTCCAAACAGGAGTTTGTAATTTACTTTTGCAATAATCTGACAGGATGTTGGTGGAAAAAAAATAAAAGAAATGTTAAAGCTGCTGCCGGTGGCCCGTTATGGTCACTATGGTAACCACATCCATGTGTCTCTCACTCCCTGACAGGCTTCTGAATAACAGCTTCTGTACAAAGAGTTGTCGTAAAAATCTTCCAGACCTCAGCCGGTTGTCATGTCTAAATTTTATAAATGATGCACTGATATCACATTTTCAAACGGAGTACGAGTAAAAGTACTTGAGTTCTCGATACCATTTACCAATACAAGTACTAATAAATTTTATAACACTTTTACAATTACTTCAAAAGCACAGGTTAAAATGGTCGAGAAGCTCAGGTTCAGATCTGTATGTTTTCAGGATCCACTGCTTTCAACAGATGCTTTAAACTCTGAGTCGTGTTGCTTTCTAATTAATTTATTGTCAAATAGTGGGTGTTGAAAATTCTTCTTCGTCTTCCGCGGGTGTAAATTTGCGGTGAAACTTTACAGTGCATTAACGCCACCAACTAAAAAGGAATGTTTGTCAGGACAGCCAAGTCAAATAAAAAATAAAACAACGTCCACAGTCACCTGCTGAGTTCACACTGCCACAAAGTGGTGCTGGTACTGTGGTATCGGAACATTTTTGCAAGTACACACACTTACAGTGACGAACATTCCTAATTTTTACGTTTCTAGTTAAAAAACCCTACACTTCCTGTTTTTGAGGAGGAAAATGTGAACTCAGCTTTAATGGAAGCTAATAGGAGTTTGGATGTGTGAACTCTCTAAACTTTGGAGAGGGTTTAAAAGTAAACCATCAGTCCTGTGACATTCTCAATAATCCAAGTAGAAAAGTCTTACAAGTTTGAGTCCAATCCTCTGGACTAGTTATTTGGTTAAATATTTTATCTTATATGCAAAAAACTTCTTTGATCTGAGGAGCTGGAGTTAATCTGAGTCTTATAAACAGCACCTTTGCATAGTGGAGTTTGTTTGTGACACCCAAATTTAGTCATTTAGATGTAAAAGAAGGACCATCAGACTAATAACTAACCGTAAGTGCCCTGATGGCTGCTTATTGATCACATGTAAAAGGAGGACCATCAGCCTAACAACTGACAGTTAGTGCCCTGATGGCTGCTTATTGTTCACATAAAAGGACCATCAGCCTAACAACTGATGGTTAGTGCCCTGATGGCTGCTTGTTGTTCACATGTAAAAGGAGGACCATCAGCCTAACAACTGATGGTTAGTGCCCTGATGGCTGCTTATTGTTCACATGTAAAAGGACCATCAGCCTAACAACTGATGGTTAGTGCCCTGATGGCTGCTTATTGTTCACATGTAAAAGGACCATCAGCCTAACAAATGACTGTTAGTTCCCTGATGGCTGCCTATTGTTCAAAGTAGGAGGAGTCATACTTGCAATAACAGCACTGTAAGAGGGGGACCATTGGACACGGAGACCTCCAACACTGTTTAACAAGAGGGTTTTTAAATATAAGTCCTCCAGCAGTGGCAGATACTGAATATAATCAAAAATTATTTTTTTTTGATGAGTAAATTTCTTGGAAGTAAAAGTTTGATTGCATTGTTTTGGGACGTTCCGACAGCTCAAGAGTTGTGTGATTATCTTACTCTAGGTTAAGGATATTAAACTGCCACTAGTTACGAGGGATGCAATTTCTCCCTCATTTCATCAAACTGTCGTCGTTTATGCAGATTTTTTCCAATGATTTCATCTGCATCGTATTATCTGCTACTACCAAAAGTCAGCACGCCATCTCTGATCAAAAAAGACATCACTTTTTTATGTTTTGCACGAGTTTCTCCAAACCTACAAATCAAAAAATGTGACAGAGACAAAATGTTCGAACAGCGAAAAGGGCATCTTTAATAAAAAGCACCGGTTTCTGCAAAAAAAAAACAAAAAAAAACTGAAATTCATCCCAGCTGCATAAAAACATCTTGTTGAGAAAGAATCAATGTTTTTTTC